AGATTGCATGTAGAAATGCTTCCACCACAAGGGATTATAGACCCTGAGGTTATGATAATCTAGTGGAGGGGATTATGACACATGTCTCTACATAATATGAACTCGAGACTCCTTGTATATTAGGAGATCTTGTTCGCCATTGGTCAAGCTTTGGCACAGATTGTATGACTACTGTTGCAAGGCTTGCCTTTTCTCCTCAGAGATTAATATGATGTTGTACATTGTAAGGGTGATAGAGCATTGAGTCAAGAATCCAATGGTCCTAGTCTCATGAGAAAATTTCTTGTGGATAAAAATAAATCTCAATTTTAGTCGCCAGGGTTCATCTGGCTATTGACAGACAGCGCATAAGGCTATTGATTGCCCAACTTGCATAATTATTGGACTAGAGCATTTATGCAAGGATATACCTCATTATGATGTCATATAGTGAGGTTTTCCTCCTGTTTTGTCTGTTAAGCATTTTATCCTTGGTCAAAGATGGATTTAAAAGAGCATCGCACCACATTAAACTCCTCCTATATATTGTGAAGAGGCGTATATGGGTCATGATAGTATATATATCCTAGAGTCTATCTCAAATTGAGATGGCTTGATGGTCTTTTATCAACGATCATTAGTCACAATGCACATATGTGACTAACGATGGATTAGGAAGTATATTATTCTGTATCAGATTCCTCCAATATCATATGGAGAGGCATATATACGCCTTAGGAGTATATGTATCATAAATTTTGTCCCAATATTGAGATGGTCAATCGCTAGTCTAGATGTCGTACACTTGACTGATGTCATATTAGAAAGTATGTCGTACCACATCAAATTCCCCCAATATTTTGTGGAGAGGCATATATGGACCTTAGCTATATATATATATATATATATTAGAATTTGTCACAAACTAAGATGATTTGACAACTCCCGCAATCATTGATAGTAAGTTAGGACATATATAGATTGACTGACGAACAAGGCTCTAAAGTCATATAGGGGCCCTTAGACAATGAGTTCTAGGCATATCATATTCTTCATAGCATATCAAGAGCATGTCTTTGTAAATATATTCAAGAATCATACTTATTGAGCTTGCATATCTTACCCATTATCTGTTTAGGACATTTATCTGGTGTTGGTTATACACTTGTCTCATAATTATGCCTTCAATTCATTGGGCATCTAATAAAGTGTACTTAGTCTCATATGATGGCTAAAAATACACCCAACACTCGATTGCACCAAACATATAGGATGATGCAAGATTACTTATGCTAGACATCGCCAAGCCTACTTGCTTGAGTTCTTCGAACACCAAGGAGATGGCATTTTCTAGGATTTGCATGTTTTGGGCAGGCGAAACGATGGAACATCTTGTTTCCTTTATTGCTAGGGTTTTTCAATATGGAATCGAGGTATTAGGGCCATTAGTCCCTGAACTCGTCTCTGTCGTAACTGTTTCTCTGATGATGAGATTCATAAACAAGTGGTGGGTGGCAGGTGAAAGTGAGCGATAGTCTTACATCGGTCGAAGAGGCGACGTTGTGGTTGAGGGGAAGTGTTAAGAAAGAGGAAGATATGGTTGCTACAATAGACAAGAGAGAAACAGCGAGAGATGGGAGACGATGATAGATGAGATAGATAAACAAGGATAGAAGGGAGCCAAAGATGCGCAAGGAATGTCTTGGGCTTGAGAAGTAAAATATAACCTAACAAATAAGAGGGGGAACACTTATTTAAATTAGAGTTTGTTTCTTGATAAAAGAGAGGGGGTTCCTCTTTCTTTCTTGAGATCTTGATTTGGTTACATGATGAGAACGAGATAAAAAAAAGAAGAGATTTTTACGTATGAACGCTTTTTTGGAATGGAAATGTATGGTGTTGTATTGTCCTTGACAAAGTTCTTGGAGCTTACAGTCGGATATCTACGGGGTGTGATGAGTCTTGGGTGGTCTTTGATGATGATAATATGCCGGTTCTAGAGTTGAGGGAGACCAATGGCCATGTTAATGGCATAGTGGGCCTGAAAACCCTAGCTGGGGGTAAATCCATGACTCCAACTACGCATCGTTTGAAATGTTGCCTTCTTTAATCTACACACAAAATCAGACCTTGGGATTCTCCATACCCCGGTGGTTGCTCCATGTAAACTTCTTCTAGGAGATCACCATGCAAAAAAGGCATTTTTAACATCTAATAAACCATGAAAAAGAGAGTATACAAATTTTTTATGGGTGTGACTTTTTCACATACATCTTTTATGGTTTAACATCTAATAAACCTGAGAATACAAATTTTTATGGGTGTGATTTGTATAGGGTGTCAACCGTAAACAATTAAGCCGCACCTCAAAACCATGCAAAAAAATGCAACAAAGATGCCAAAAAGCCTTGTGATGGTTTGGAAATGTATTTTCATATCTAATTATGAAATTTAAAGCTTAAAAAATTGTGCAAATCGAGCAGATCTATAAACACTTGAACATCTTGAAAATGAACGATCCACATAATACTTTTTAGATAAACTATTTTCATGAGTTAAAATCATTTTTCGTTAATAACCATACATCTCGAGTTGAGATGATCAACTGGAACTTTTTCTAGCTTCCAAGCAACTTCTTTTGATGGATCGTTTAGATGCATATGCCTTCTATAGTACAAAGGTGACACTATATATATTATTTTATTTTATTTTAATTTTTATTTTTAATTCATTTCATGCCTCCCTTATCCTTGTCCTATATTTTTATATTTTAATTCATTTCATGCCTTTTTTTATCCGTGCCAGGACAAAAGTGTCGTCCAAAGCAAATATGGCAACATTGTACGGTATAACAATTGTGTGTCAACTCTTCGGATAAAGGGAGATGGCTAGCGACCATCCAAATAAAACTGGTTTGGGTAACCAACATTGCAGCACAATCCCAGTTTGGATTATGGTTAGTAAGTCTCAGTTTAAAATATGATTTTACAAAATATCTATGATTTTTTAAAATATGTTGAAAACTCCGAGTTTTGCAAAAACATCTTCAAAAAATCATGTTTTTTCTCATAGTTTTATTATTTCATAAAAACCTTAAAAAAGTCTTATTCCATATAATTTTATTGAGATTTTATTTCCTTCATTGATTTAGTTTTTCCAAATTTTGGTCTAGAATTTTCACTAACAAATTCTTAAAAAAAAAGTGTATTAAAAAAACACGAGCAATATATTCTCAGGAAATAATCTATGAATGGTATATCTTAAAATATGGTGGAATTCAAAGAAGAGTGACCCAAATAAAAAATCTTCTTTTTCTCTAACCCCAAGCATCAATATAATGAGCAAGAGTGGTCAGTGATGCTGAAAATTTTGACAGCTAGGACTTCAATGTGAGATTTGAGTAGTTAGATTTGCTTAAGCATTTTGTTGTTTCATTTCTACAAACAAAAGTTTGATTAATTTCATCTTTTGAAAGTTTTTATTATTTTAGTTAACTGCAATCCTATTCCGAGGGTCTTTTGTGTTGTTTTCTTCCATCAACAATCATATACATTCGGTTACAGTTCTTGTTATTCGTTAATATAGTGAGAAAAAAATAGGGAAAATTAGAAAAAGCCTCCAAGGCCACACTTTCTATGCAACTTACCCTCAACCTAAGTTTTTTACTCACTTTTTTTCCAAAAAACACACTTCTATGCAAAAACCCCCCAAAGGAAAGAGTTCATTTTTTTTAGACGGAAATACCCTTCCTGTACATAGAAATCAATTTGGCCAGATTTGATGTTGCCTTTCGGAGCTCATTGCCGGAGCGAACCACCACAGTGCCGGAGCGAATGATTCACTGTCGGAGCGCACATACACAGTGCTGGAGGGCTTGTGACTCCAGATTACACTGTTGGAGCGCACTTCCAAAGTGCTGGAGCGCATGATCCACTGCCAGAGCGCACATAGACAGTGTCGGAGTGCTGTGACTCCAGAGTGTTGCATTGCCGGAGCACACTTACACAGTGTCGAAGCGCATCATCTACTTCCAGAGCGTACATACACAATGCCGAAGCGCATGATCCATTGCCGAAGTGCACATAGACGTGCCGGAGCGCAGTGACTCCATAGCGTTGCCCTGTCGGAGTGCAATGCCAGAGCGCACGTCTACTGCCGAAGCGCACTTACGTAGTGCCGAAGCGCACTTACGTAGTGCCGGAGCACACATACACAGTGCCGAAGTGCTGTGACTCCAAATTCCAATGTCGGAGCGCACTTACACAGTGCTGGAGTGCATGATCCACTACCGGAGCACACATATACAGTGCCGGAGCGCTGTGACTCTAGAGTGTTGCGCTGCGGGAGCGCACTTACACAGTGCTAGAGCGCACTTACACATAAGAGAGAGGCGTGGGTAAGGTAAAAGTAAGGGAGGGTAGTTCAGGCATTCTTTTATTTTTTTATTTGGCTGGGGGGTATTTGCATAGAAAGTGTATTTTTAGGAAAAAGTGAGAGAACAAGTTAGGTTGGGGGTAAGTTGCATGAAAAGTATAGTCTTGAGAGTTTTTTTGTAATTTTTCCAAAACAATATATAAAAAAAAATTAAACATGTCTAATGTTGGTAATATCAGACCGAGAAGCAAACTAAAAAAAAATTAAAACATGTATGATGTTGGTAATAAGTAATCTTGAAGAAAAAAAAAAAGAAGAGGGAGCAAGTATTCAATAAAAACATTAGAGCTTTTTATATTTTTCATTTTGTTTTTGGATCCGCATGGAAGTAGCTCAATAAAGTAAGTAGACCTTGTTTTGAACCCTGTACTATCTGATTACCCAAAATCAAGAAAATAAGTTAAAGGGTTGGAGAGAGAGAGAGAGAGAGGGTGCCAAGAGGGAGAGGGGGAGCCACTGACTATCTCGACACATGTCTCTTCCTGTGATACGTGGCACTATGCATGGGAACTCCTCCGCCTAGGAACCGCGAGTATTATCCCACCAACATACCACGTTCCTGCTCTCCTCCACCCTCAAAACATACACAATCTCTGTCTCTGTGATTAACTGCAAGTTCCTAACAATACACTGAAACAACTCAAGGAATTGTATCCTCTTCAATCTTTATTAAAAAGTACTGGTAGCTCTCTTTCTTTACCTCTCCTGTATGTGTTAAGCCATGGTGAAGCTAGCTTCTGCCCGCGAAAACCGATTGTATGGACCGCCTCCTTCTCATAACCGGTGGGAGTACATCAACGCCGGCCTCTATATATTTTGCTCCATTCTTTTACTTATAGGGTGCTTATTAGAACTGTTCAGCGGTGTATCGAGGTCTGCACTTGTGATCCTCCTCATATCTGCTGTGCTAATGGCGGCCATTAACATGCACGACCTCTTTGCTCACCTTGCTGGAATTGATTTCCGTTTGTCATTGATTGGAGGTGACAAACAAATCGCCTTAGTGGAAATTGGAGCACCTTTGATACAAATGCTCGGATCCATTCTCACTTTTCTTGGTCTTCTTTTTCTCGTAATTCAGGTTAACATTTCTTCATCTCTTCATGAAGTTTAGATTTTGAATTTTGGGACCATTCTTTTTTTTCTTAAGAAAGAGAGGACTAGGCTGCAATATTATGGATCACACATGTTTTGAGTGCTAAGCAAAAGATGTTGTAAATTGGACTTTGATCCTTAGACTTTCTTACTTCATGGAAAAATATGCGTAGATCCTTGTGGTTATGTTAACAATATGCTCATGTGGATTACACTATCAAATAGAGAGTTGATGAGTCTGATGGATAGCAGGACATACGTGAATTGATGAAATGTTGGGTCGGATCAGTCCATCCATCACTGTTCCGCGGATTGATCTAACTCACAACCGACTGGTCAAATCGGAACCGGGCACTAGCCAATCCGGTTTTGGCCGGTTTTGATGGTCCATCGGAGTATTTTAAAAAACAATTTTAAAAAGTATATCAAACCTAAAAAATAAGGGATTTGTTTGTAATGGGTTTTTTTAATATATATTTTTTATCATTTTGGGAAATATTGGAAACAGATTTGGTCAACGAATACTTATGTGTCCAATTTTTTCCATTTATTTTGGAATTTTAGAAAATACCCTTAAGCACAAATCGATATTTTAAATGCACTTTTTCACTACTTTTCGACTTCATTTGGATGTTTTTAATTATATTTTAAATATATTTTTCATTTTCTTTTGTAACCTTTTTGTACTTTTTTTTTAAAAAAAATTTAACACTTTTTGAACTGGCAGGGACCTGGCCGGTTTACCGGTTACTCGGACAAGGCCCTTGGCCAGATTCCGAGGCCGGTTTGATAATTGGATTATTGGTCATGACCACTTTGATCATGCATACGGCCCTCTAATTCAAGCACCATTGGCAATCCCTATGATTCCATTCTTTAGCAACTCATTTTCTTTCGCATTTCTGGGTAGGCTAGTTGGGATTTCGAAACTTGGATGATGCAAGTATAGCCCTTAACTCACTAACCAATATGGCAAATCAATACAATTTGTGGGGAATGAGGACAGTTTCCAATCCATCTTTGGACTATCATGTGCAGGGTTTGTTGATTATGTATAGCTTCTAATCTGATGCCACATTGAACAAACCTTTTCTTTCCTTTTTTTCATTTTCTGTAAAGGAAAACGTTATATATTGTCATGATGGAAGTATATTGACTATAAATTGTCCAATACGTATGAGAGGAATTATGTAGAATGTAATTAGCTATTTAAAGTTAAATACAAATTACTCTTTATGGATCTAGATAGGTGACATTACTCTTTATGGATCTAGATAGGTGACATAGTTTGGGACCCTTGAGCCTATTTATTGTTTCGTATGCAATCAAGTTGAAAGACCCTACAACTAAGAGAAATTCATTCCCAAGAAATATAGTTCATGATGTTAGGTGAAAGGGATAGGCTCCTACACAAGTGTGACATGAGAAGTGGACATAGAAAGTAAGAGTTTTGCTGCATTTAGGGATTTTAGTTATGTTAGGTTTTAGGAAGTCTCCTACACAAGTGTGACATGCGACGTGAACATAGAAAGTCAGAGTTTTGGTGCAGTTATGGATTTTAGTTATATTAGGTTTTAGGTTCTTACAGGGACTAGGACATCAAGGTGTTGGGCCTCATACTGGTTTTCAATATACGAGACCTAATGGAAGTAAAACTAGGGTTAGGTGATGCATTATGCTTTTCGAGGTCATGACTTTGCACCAAGATATTTGTTCAGGGTGAATCAAAGCTTAGGTGGTACTTCGAGATCTACAACCTTTATCTCTATGTTTTTTTGTGCTAATGTTTCAGGCTTCAAATTGTGGTTGAAAGCCTGCTAGAGAAATGAATAACAATTCTTTTTCAATGCATATTGGGTTCTTTCTTTTCATTTTTGAATTCGTGTTGTGGTTGAGTTTTAGAATTAGTCTCCTGAAGTTATTAGGTTTTCAGAAACTAAGCTTCTAATCCTAGATGAATTAGAAACCTTTTGAGTCTATTTGCTTTTCAGAGTCTCTAGGAGTTTCCTTTTATGCTTTTAACAGTCCATGTATAGGTACAGTAGAACTTGAAACTATCTGTAAATACTTCTCACTACTGGCCTACTGATGTTCAACTCAAGAAATAAGATTTGTTTTCTAATAGTGGTGAGGGGCCATATTTAGAGGAGAAATTCATCAAATTTCTTCGCAGAGTCACTCTCTCTGTAAAGAGATTTGAGGAATCTCCTCTTAATTAGTTAAGCAATTTGATGATTCCTCGAGTCTAAATTTATAGTTGTAGAGTTAACTCTCTCTTCTGATGTAGCACATACAAATTCCATGATTCCCACAAATTCGTCATCTATTCCAAACCCTCTATAAAGCTCTTGCCTAACCATGTAAACAGTAATGAGTTACCTAAAAATCTATCTTCACCATATATTTACCCTCCAGAATATTCAAACTTCAGATTAATCAGTAATTTAAACCCTAGAATTTTACTCATCATCCTGCTATGTTATTGGAATTGCTAAATCTATCTGACAACTTAATATTTCCTTATGATGCAGCACATCTACCCTAGAACTAAATTAGTCACTCATGAAAACCCTTTTATAAACCTTGTCCAAGTCTCTACAAACTTTAGGTGAACTTGTTCGAATGTTACCCTGACCGTATACCTATCTACATCCTAAATAGATTGGGAAATAAAATTCATCACAAATTTTTTCTATAGGCTTTCAGTCATGATTTGCAGTCGGAATCATTAAAATTGTGCAAAGTCCGTAGAGATAATAGTTGTAGATTGCTAAGCAATCTTCAATTTAAGCTATATATTACCTTGAATGGACATCTAACTGAAAAGTTACATTCTATTGCTAACTGAATCAACTTTCTAAGTTGAGGATTCTCATCTCTTTTGAATAATGCAAACCCAAGATCAAGCATAAATAGGTCGGTAACAGAATCACCCCAGCTAAGTGAAATGGGATGGGAGATTATTGTCATCAAAGAGATGAATTCAATTGCATCGATCTCTTCCCTCCTTACCACCAACAGGGAAATGCAGACAACCTGCCCACATTGAAATGATGTTCTCATCATGATTGGGGGACATCATGTATGTTAGTTTAAACTAGTTTCCTTGACATGTATTGCACACTCATGGAAAGCGACAAATGCACAATCCTAGTGAGATAAAATTAGAAACTAAAATCTTTCGAATTCCAGCTAGGGTTGACAATCTCAAACAATCTTTCTCTCTCTCACAACTAGCGGGACATGCCAGGCTGTACTAAAGATCTATCATGTTCTGTCATCTTGCCAGGGTAAAGCCTGACACAGACCAGAAATATTTGGCAAGGCCAAGCCAAATGCATGCGAACTGGCCGAGGCCCGCAACCCAGCCTGCAGAGGATCGTGGCCAAGGCCAACCTTGGTTGTATATGACAAAAAAGAAGAAGAAAGAGAATGAAAGAAAGATTATGGCCAAGGCCAAGCTCGGTCGTATCTGACAAAAGAAAAAGAAAAAAAAGATAGATTGAGAGGTTCAAAGCTGAGTGTCTTACCTTACCAAGAGCAAAATTATAACCATTGAACTTTTTCTTAAACTGATAGCAAATGAAGGAATATTAACTTTTGTTTACTTAAATTCACCCGATTCAATAACTTGTCATTAGGGGCTTGAACCCACACACTAGCACTCAGTGACAACATTTTAATCATGGACAAAGTGACTAGGTAATCATTGCAATGAGAAATATTAGCATTTCATTTAGAAACATTGTGTTGCGAATTAAATGGGTCGGGCTCAGGACGTCCAAAGCCCTTTCTTGGGCCTTGGTGGGCAAAGTAGCTGGGCCCAAACCTGGACCATGTCAGCCCTAGTTTAGTGGACCAGTGGGCCTTTTCCAGCCATTTTTATCCCTGTGCACACCCCATGTGAATTCCCTATATTAAGACAAGGGTAGTAAGGGAACAAAGTAACGTGAAAGAGGGGCAATGATAGAAGGATTTATCCTTCTCCTTCCATTTATAACAGAAATGCTTTTCGCTCTCACTGTTTTTTTTTTTTTAAATTTCAAAATTGGTTCTCCAACTTGATATTTTTGTGTGATTTTCAGGTGGACAAAGGGAGGCATGGCTTAAGCTTGTTGATAGCAGGGCCAGCCTTATGGGTGTTGGGTTCGATTCACAACTCTTGCCAAGTGTATGAGAGAGCAGACAGTTATATGCAAATATTGCAGAAAGCAGTCCACCTCCCCTTTCTCTTGGGCAGCTTACTCTTCTTGGTGGGAGGCATCCTTAGTGTCATGATGACCCATGATACATTGGTATAATCATTCCCTCTACTTATGATTTTGCAAATATTTAGGTTTTACTCTAGCAATTCATCGGAACCCCAAGGTCAAGTTACTAATCCCAGGACGGTTTACTTAGGTTTGATTCCTTAATAAAGTACTCACTTCTAACTGTGGTAAAGCCATAAGATATGGTATATATGGGATTGTATATTATGAGACCATTCATCGAGGTCATAGTCACTCTTAGCCATCTAATCTATTATGTATGTTACAACTTTCGAGAAATTTTATTTGGAACTCTGTGCCCCATCAATGATACATCCTTAACTGCCAGATTTCATATCCAACAGTCAACGATAATTGTGACCTCCTTGTATTGAAAGTAAACGGTTTCATTTCCCATAACATATTTATTCTCTTGCATATAAAGACATGTCTATCCATGCATGTATGTGCATCCTTCTACATATGTGCATCCAGACAGAATATTATCTATGTATTAATTCATGCATGCATTGATCAACTTGCACAGACAAGAGAAACATGCATTCACGTATTTCTAGGTGCATATGTGTGTTGAATTCCATGTATTATGGAGATTATAGTGCACGATGCTAGCAATGGAAGGTCATTGATGGTGCAGGACAGGGGTTGGGGTCTGTTTGGTGCAGTCGGGAGTTTTCTGTTTTTGTTCGGGGGGATGGCGAATGTCCTTAAAGTTTTCAAGATGCAAGGAGTGATGATGGATGTGGGGAGGCTGGAGAAGCTGAGGGGTGGGGCGCAGGAGAGGCTATACAGAGAGAGAGAAGGGAGGCTACCACTCTTATTAGATGAACAAAGGAGGAGAACGATTCAGCACCACCTTCCCGACAGCTCTTTACCAGCCACAACCTCATCAGCCCCGACCTCTACTCCATACAAAGATGTCTTAGTCGGCATTACAAGAGATTCTTGAGCACCACCGTTGTTGCCCTATATTTTCAGCAGGTTCTTCGAGGTCATAACCACGAAGATGCCCCTGACTGTTGTCAGGTTATGTTCCATTTTCCATTAATATCCATGGTAGTGGTCTATGAATCATGAATTCGATTGCAAGGTTTTGCTTGTTTGCACGATCGTCGTCATCATCATCCTTTGTTAGTGAGTGTGGTTATTACATATAAAGTGGTGAAACATTTGTATTATGAAGACTTTGTTCATGGGAAACCTCTGTACTTGTTCATCAAATAATTCTTATTGCGTCTCCAGCTGCATTGTAAACATTATGCTTTCGAATAATTTAATTTGATTGAATATTATCAAATGGGCACGTTCCCATGATCCATCCTCGGTTATGTTACGATGAGATTCTCCCTTTGTAGATCTTGTTACTGGAAGCTTAACACTAATATGAGAGTGTGTTAAGTGATCAATATTTTGTTTATAGGTATGTTTTATAACCTGAATTCAAAGTTTGGGCTATCAAATACGAGCGTTAGTATTTCGATCAAATGTTTGGAAAATCTGGCTCTAGGAACTCGAGTTTTCGACCGTCGATAAGTCAGCTCTGGCTAGGAACTCGAGTTTCCTGCAAGGGTTCCGAAACTCGGCTCTAGGAACTCAGGCCCTACCCCAGTTTGAGATACTGTGGTCCGAGCAAGTTTGAGTGGACTCACTTGAACTCTGCAGGAGTATACATCGGATGGTAGAATCCAAAAATTTGGAGAAGAATCTTGAAAAAATATTAAATTGAACTTATGTAATCAAGGCAAAGTAATATTAGTGTAAGAAAATATGTGCAAAACATGTGTAGAGAATCTTTAAAATAGACGTGAAGAGTGTTTAAAATAGAATATATGAAATACAAGCGAATGAAGTATATTTTAGAAATGGGTGCGGTTTCTATAGAGCCGAGGCTCTAAACATTCAAAGTAACGCTAACATTCAAAGTAACGCTTCTTCAAATAGTGTTGATGAGAAATGTGGTTTTAATATTGGAAATAATAGCCTTAAAATATATTTTTATTTTTATTTATAAATTTAAATATTAAAAAACCGGTTTAAATTTATAAAATTTAAATATTCAAAAAACAGTATAGATCTGCATATCTATGAAAATTTGAAAATTTAGAAAATTGTCTGTCTACAAAAAAAAAAAAAGTGTTGTAAGATGTATTATTTTTAACACTTAAAATTCATTTTTTTTGTTATGTCCATAAATTTTGATGTCGAGATGATGAATTTGAGAATATTTGAGCGTCAAAACTGCCTCGTGAAATTTTTCGACGTGGGATTGTTTAAAGCCTCGGCTCTCTACAAACTTTTTGAAGCGCATGGGTATATTTCATTTTGCTCAGGAAAATATTAGGGGTAAATTAAAAAGGTCCCTTTAAATGATAGTCAAAGCGACGGCTACACGAGTAAAAAGGTCAGCCACTTTATTTTGGGATGCGGTTTACATGGAGAAGGCTTTAAACAATTAAAGTAAAGTGCATCAAAAGTAGTTTTAGTACTGAAAATCTTTGTGATACCCTTAAAATATATTTCAAAATTTTAAGTTTAAAGAATAAGGTAGATTGAGCATATTTATGAAAACTAAAAAATCTGGAAATTTGATAGTCCAAAAATGCATTATAAAATGTATTATTTTTAAAAATTGAAATTTATTTATTTTTTTCATGTTCATGTATATTGATGTCGAGATGAGCAATTGAGGAAATTTGAGCATCAAAACAACCTCTTTTAACGAAAGTTTTGATGTGCACTCTAATTTGATTGATTAAAACCTCACACTTATATAAATTTGTACATTTATTTTATTGTTATTGTGTTATGGTTCAAAAATACATGATATTTAGATTCTTTCCCCGTGATTTTTTTTTTTTTTTATTTGAAGTTTGTCCTTAGTTCGATATTTAAACATCGAATCACTTATAAAAAATATTGAACACCTATGTTGTAGGGTTGTTCGATATTCCAAACATTTCAGCAGCCCTATACTTTTTAGGCGGTCTGCTGTTCTTTTAGAAACTTCGGACCGCCTTAAAAATGAGGTCTACAAACATTGGAATGTCCTTTTAGTAACATGGTATGTGTCCGTTGATGTGCAGGTAACGTGGTTCCCTTAACATTCACCACTTAAGGCCAATTAAGATTGGACATGTATTAGCACCAGTGTTTAAAAAACGCCGAGTCGAACCGGACTCGCTCGGTTCGACTCGGGAATCGCCATGGACGGATCGAATTGGCAAAAAAAACGGGAATCGTCCGGTTCTAGAGAGAAAGGGACGATTCTGTACAGTGACTCGCCGATTCACTGTACGGAATAGGCGAGTCCGTACAGTGAATCGGCGAGTCCGGTAAGGTTAACCTTTTTTTTTTTTTTTTTTTTTTTTTTTTTTTTTTTTTTTTTAAAAAAAAAAAACCATGATAGATTTTTTTTCTAATACTTGATCGTTTTTTTGTAATCCATGATCG